AGGTTGACAGTGTTTCTTTCTGTCTGTTGCGCTTTCAGCTGAGAAGCACCTAGAGCGCCGGGCTCTCAAGCGGCAGACCAGAGTTCGAATCCCCGGTAAGAGGGCAAAAATAAAACCCTAACCTGCAGTACGTGGCGGCAGCACGAGCTATGCGGCCCTAAATCCTTAAGCTTAAAGACCCCCTACCCTATTCTCTTTCTATCTCTCTCTCTCTCTCTCTCTCTCTCTCTCTCTCTCTCTCTCTCTCTCTCTCTCTCTCTCTCTCTCTCTCTCCATTCCTCACAGATCAGTATCAGTCATTATACATTGACTTCATAAGCAGCCTCCGCCTGGGCTGCAGTTACAACATATCTTCATTAGTCTCGGCGTCTGCTGTACTCTCTTTACTTCGCCACTCCAACGTTCAGATCAAAGATCGGTCCTGGAAATTGGCTGAAGCCTGAGTGGGGGACGATGGCGGCTGCTGAGACATCTTGACCTTCACAAGAGTAGTGGTTGACTTCGGGAGAGTCCATTTCTTGTCCCTAGTTTGGTGCTCTACTGATATTCACACCTCTTGTATCGCCGTCTGATTGCTTTCGGTTACTTTGTACGTCCTCAACTTTGTTCTTGTTGCATTCTCATTGAGTCTTGTGTCTACATCGTCAGCGTACTGCTTGTCTTTGTAATTTTCTTTTTCTTCTTCTTCCTCTTCTTCTTATCAGCACCTCTCCTTCTTCATCTTCTTCTTCTTCTTCTTCTTCTTCTTCTTCTTCTTCTTCTTCTTCTTCTTCTTCTTCTTCTTCTTTTTCTCCTTCTTCTTCTTCATCATCATCATCATCTTCTTCTTCTTCTTCTTCTTCTTCTTCTTCTTCTTCTTCTTCTTCTTCTTCTTCTTCTTCTTCTTCTTCTTCTTCTTCTTCTTCTTCTTCTTCTTCTTCTTTTTTCTTCTTCTTCTTCTCCGCTTCTTATCTTGGACACGGAATCTTATTTATTGTTACCCCCCCCCCCCGCCCCACCCCAAAAGGTAATCTGTTAATTTTATGGAATATTTTCCCTAGATTTATTATATTCATTGTACTAAGAATCGTTTGTTACAGAAATGTAGATATAATTCGTGCACACTCTGGCGCTAGTTTTTGTTTGTAGACAATGGTACGAGAATCGTACTGTGGAAGAGATTGGGACCTCACCACCAAAAACTCTCATGGACCGTGAGTGCACCGAAGATAACCTACATTCTGCAGACTTCACACACACACAGACACACACACACAGACACACACACACACATACACACACACACACACACACACAGAGAGATTACACCTCAATCTTCATGCCGTCGTGTAGCGGCGGCTAGACTCTGGCCTGCGGATCGGATGTTTGCTGGTTCGGGTCCAGACGGCGCCAGACTTTTCCCCCCCACAAACGAACTTAGCTCGAATGTCCTGGGAAGTAAAGGTGGCCGGTGTGTTGTTGACATCATCACTCACCGAGTGCTGATTGGTCTTTAGAATACAGGTCTAGCCCTACGTGCCAAGTACGCCTGAAGTTGTGGGCAATTGTCCTTTACTTATTACTTTACTAAGTTGTCATCGGTTCCACAAAAAATGCTCTCCGAACTTGTAAGTTCGCAGCAGTGTTGCCACTTTTGCGTGGAAAACATCTAGAAAAAACATCCAAATGAAAAGCGTCACAAATTACATACCAATTATATGACTTACCCCATAAAATCATGTCCTCATCTTTACTGAAGTCTGCCTCACAAGATCCAGAGAATAAACTTAGCTTAGATGATCAAGTTGAAGCTTCAGATCCAAAATGACTCTGGTGTGTTTTAGCTGTTCCGATTTCTTCTAATACCCAATCAGGGAGCTGATAAGTGGAACAGCCTTTTCCTACTCTTATCGGGCAAAATTTTATTGTCAAGATAGCATTTGAGAGGTCAAATTTTATCCTGTTTCTTAGGTTAGATTTGATAAATTCACTCCAAATGAAAAACGTCTAGAAAAACATCTACCATCTAAACGACAAAAACGCCATCTAAATGCAAGGGAAAACATTTAAATCTGGATGTAAAACATCCAAAGTAGCAACACTGGTTCGCAGCCACCCCCCCCCCCTTCCCCCACCTCCCGTTTGCCCTCCTTTATATAAAAACAATGCGGTTGAAAATAAGGCTCGACATCAGCGGTTCTCACCCTGTGGATCGCGACCCTTTTGGGGGTCGAATAACCTTTTCACAGGGGTCGTCCAAGACCACCGGAAAGCGCATATTCACTGAAGAAGCAAAGCAAATAATTGTATGGTTGAGGGGCACCACAACACGAGGAACTGTACCAAAGAGTCACCACGGCTATTAGGAAGGCTGAGGACCACTGCTCTACATGAATATAATTACCTATCTGCTTTCTAATTTTCTGCTTGTTCCTTTTATCTTCAAATACTGCAAAGGGCCCTGAACAAACTCACATCCAGCTTCCAAAGATTACAATTGTGTGTCAGGCCCTGTAAATTTGGCGGGCATGTCCCAACCGCATCTAGATATCGTCCTCATTTCACCAATTTACTTATTCAAAATTTGATTTCGCAGACGTTAGCAAAACTTCTCATCTTCATGTAATTAGGTCAGTGCCGTACCATCAACCTGTCGGGGGAGATTAAAAAGAGTATAGTTTATCCCCCCGTAAATGAGACACGTTAAAAGTGACAAGAGAGCTGGAGAATATATTTGCCTTTATTCGTGTTCACTCGTAGCTCTCATTGTCATTTTGAATAAATATTTCTCTATCTTTAATGGTAAGCGCCTCCCCCTTTTCCCCTTCTCTGTAGTGGTTCTTGTGTCCATGAGAGGCGCTGCACACTCGAGTGTGTGCTCCAGAAGAGGGTGGTGGGTACTCTGGATGTCGATCTATTTTTCTTGTGCGTCCTCCTTCACCACCTCCTCCTCCTGCTGCTGCTTCTCCTTCTTCTTCTTCTTCTTCTTCTTCTTCTTCTTCTTCTTCTTCTTCTTCTTCTTCTTCTTCTTCTTCTTCTTCTTCTTCTTCTTCTTCTTCTACTTCTTCTTCTTCTTCTTCTTCTTCTTCTTCTTCTTCTTCTTCTTCTTCTTCTTCTTCTTCTTCTTCTTCTTCTTCATCCTCTTCGTGTTCTTCTTTTTCCTTTTCTTCATCTTTGTTTTCTTCTTCGTCTTCTTCTTCCTCGTCCTCATCCTCCTCCTCCTCATCTTCTTCTTCTTCTTCTTCTTCTTCTTCTTCTTCTTCTTCTTCTTCTTCTTCTTCTTCTTCTTCTTCTTCTTCTTCTTCTTCTTCTTCTTCTTCTTCTTCTTCTTCTTCTTCTTCTTCTTCTTCTTCGTTTTCTTCAACATCGTTTTCTTCTTCTTCTTCTTCTTCTTCTTCTTCTTCTTCTTCTTCTTCTTCTTCTTCTTCTTCTTCTTCTTCTTCTTCTTCTTCTTCTTCTTCTTCTTCTTCCTTTTTTCTTCTTCTTTTTCTCCTCCTCCTTCTGCTTCTTCTTTGATTTCACCGGCGGTAAACTGGCGGAAAATTCTGGTTGTCTGTCCACTTCTGGACTTTATTCTCGTTCCATGCGCATTTTTTTTAAAGATCTGGCTTTTTTGCAGACTTCTGGCTCTTTGTCTCTCAGGCATATGTACTATGTTGTCAAAGGAGACTGTAATTAGTCGACTCATACGACATGCTTGTTAGAATAGCAGTGGGTCTGGTCTTTTTGTTTTCTTCCCATCCAAAACGGGGTCCTGAAAACCACATGGGGATAAGGTCTGGTTTTTTTTTTTTTTAAGTATTGAGAAACCATGAGTTGTTAACCCTTTGGCTCGGTATTATAGATATCGCAACCGTTCGGCCTTGATTTCATGATAGGTACCGTAAATCAGGGAGAATTGTGGCTTTTCTGCCTACCCACCCCAAGCGTGAACCCGGACCACAAGGAGTTCGTCACCAGGTCGCCGCGCAGTTAGGTTTAACCAACTGAGCTACCATGTACTTCTTTTAGACATGAGCCACGCTTTGTTCACGGCGCTACGGACACCAGGATAATAGTATAGCGGCTAGATCAGCGCTTCTCAAACTGTGGGTGGCCACCCCCTTGGCGGTCAAATGACCCTTTCACAGGGGTCGCCTAAGACCATCGGAAAACACGTTCGTTAAAGTTCTGAAGTAGCAACGAAAATAAGCAACGCCACAAATGAGGAATGTGTTAATGGGTGAGGGGTTAATGGGTCGTCACAACATGAGGAACTGTGTTAATGGGTCGTCACAACATGAGGAACTGTGTTAATGGGTCGTCACAACATGAGGAACTGTGTTAATGGGTCGTCACAACATGAGGAACTGTGTTAATGGGTCGTCACAACATGAGGAACTGTGTTAATGGGTCGCGGTATGTGGGAATGTTGAGAGCCACTGGGCTAGACGCTCGACTGCGAATCGGAAGGTCATCGTTTCGGGTCCTTACGGACTTGTTTCAGAAATGACCATGACTCCTAGGTCGACCCAGTCCTGACCGAGTACCAGGTGACGTCCTAGGAAGTAAAGGCGGTCAGCGGGATGCTGACCACATCATCCGCCGAATACCGATAAGTCTATACAATATAGGTCCAGCCCTCTATGCCTACATGCGTGAAATGGGGTCCTTTTACTCGCTGCTTGGTGACGTTTTTATGACCACACACCAAGAGAGAGAGAGAGAGAGAGAGAGAGAGAGAGAGAGAGAGAGAGAGAGAGAGAGAGAGAGAGGAGACACTGACACTGTATACCATCACGGCATATCAAGCGACCGAGCGCACCCTGGCTCGGCTACCGATAGTCTGATTAACTGCAACGCCGAGCGGCATAAGCAGACGTTCGCAAATGAAGAAAAAAGAAGAGCAACAATTTTCCCCAGTACAACTGAAACTGTTAGAAATCTCATTATCATTATCATCATCACACCACAGGCTACCAATACAAATGTACTTCCAAACTGCGGTATTTTACTGTGTGTTTCATTCTTGTCTTCGCCAGGCAAGGACTGTCAGGTCGGAGAGTGGGAAGAATGGACCAGCTGCGACAACGGCTGCGGCTATGGGACCCGGAAGCGGAAGCGCGACGTGACCCAGTACCCTGACAACGGCGGCAACAACTGCCCAGTGCTCAAGCAGCGGCGCGCCTGTGTGGGCTACCAAGCGGACGTGTGCAAACAGAACCTGGTGGAGGAGCAGGTCGAGGAGAAGTCTGGTGAGTGTTTTCTTGTTACGTCCAGTCTGGTGTTCTTTCATGGCAGCAGTAGCATAGCAAGGTCGGGTGGTCTTCTTCTTCTTCGTCGCGTTCACCAGCTGTAAACTCTGGCGGAAAGTTCTGGTTGCTCGTCCACTACTGAACTGCAGCCCTGCTCCAGAACCTGAGTGTTGCATGTGTATCAATTTTACAGATCTCATTCTCTTGAATACAGACTGTTGGTTCCTTGCCTCTCCGGCAGCTGCACTCCGACTTCAAAGGAAGCTCCCCAATTAGTTGACTCTTACGACATGCTTTTGGGGAGGCAGTGGGTCTTTTCTTGTTTTTCCCACAATGGGGCCCCAGAACCCACACGGGGGAAGGTCGGGTGGTAACAGGGGCGGAAAATATTCTGTCTTCCTCAAAGGTGTAGCAAGATTAGGTGCTATCATGCCTACCGCATTGGCATTGCAAGGTCAGGTGGTAGCGGTGCGGAGAATAATTATCTCCTCCTCCCCATGGGAAGAAGAAGTTGGTGCAACGGAATTCGTGCACTGTGCTGAGATTCTTCAGACTCAGGCTTGAGTTAGAAGTAGAACGGAGCAATTATGGATTGCATCCGTGTGCCATGATGTTGATCCGTCAAATAAACAAACAATAAACAAACAAACAAACAACCATAAAAATCCCAATTACCAATAAGCTAACGCAAAGCCAGTATAACAATAGATGTGTGCGTGATGACTTCTGCATGTTTGCCGCCCCATTCCATCTCAGTGACACGTGGTCTGCCCGGAAGTACAACAGACAAACCAATGGGAAGTAGAGTTGAGCACGGTAGGCCGATTTCCGGTGATTCAGTCCAATCAGAAGCCGAGCTGCGCACGGATATCCGGTGATTCAGGCCAATCAGAAATATAGTTGCTCTAAGGATATTCGATGATTCATGGATAAAACTGTGTGTGTGGCGGGTGGGGTGGGGTGTGGTATTGGATGAAAGACAGACAGAGAAAGAATGATACAGAGAGAGAGAGAGAGAGAGAGAGAGAGAGAGAGAGAGAGAGAGAGAGAGAGAGAGAGCGGAGTTTAAAAAAAATTAACTGGAGTTTAGTAGTAGCATAGTAGTTAGTTAACCAACGTGTCTGGGTTGAGTTGCATGTAGTACCAACCCTTTACCCACACACGACAGCATTGTACCCTCTTGCTGACAGATCCACTCATCTAACTACGAATGATTTCACTCAAGTCCCTATTCACACACACTCTTCCCACCTTCCCTTACACAAATTCGAAAATCGCACCTAACCTCCCTCACCTGGATCTACATGCCTTGGTCAGGCCGGCGAAAAAGGTAATGAGGCAGCAGACCTACTGGCAAGCAATGCACCAAAGCATGCTGGAAGAAGTGCGGACAGAGACTGAGCTAGTGCTAATGAGACGAGCCTTTGACACTAAAACGATTGCGTGACCTGGGATAGGAGATATGATGGCCAGCTTTTTGTGGAAACAGTCAGTATCCTGGAGTGGCTGCTGAACTGGGGAATTGAGAACGCTTGGGAATACCCAGTGTGCTGTGACGCTGATTCGATAGCATAACACAAATCGCCTTCCCATCTTGGTTCCCGTGCCAAGTCGAGCTGCTTCTTTCTGAAATGTAGGGAACCAGCAGTCTGCTCATAAAACGACAGATGTTTAAAAAAAAAAACGGATTTGCACACAAAACTGAACTTCTGGATCTCGAATCAGGTCTAGAAATGGACGAACAACCACAATTACCCGCCTTAGTTTACAGATGGTGAATGCGCAGAAGAAGAAGAAGAAGATCAAGAAGAAGATCAAGAAGAAGAAGAAGCTGTCACCTCAAATTGACGACGGTGCCTGGCTGTAATATCTATGACCACTCGCTCCCCCCCCCCCCCCCGCAACAACAACAACAAAATATAAAAAGGTTTCTATGTTTGTATTCATTTCAAACCACCGAAATAAAAAGTAAAGGACCCCTTTCCGTGCCTTAAGGTATTGGGCATATAGGGCCAGACCTATATTTTTAGACCAGTGGGCACTTGGTGGATAATGTGGCCAGCATCACACTGGCCGCCTTTACTTCCCAGGACTGCACCTGGTACATATTCAAGGCTGGGTCCACCTGGCTGTCAAAGTCATGTTTGAAAAATCCGGCTTCGTTAGGACCCGAACCCACGACTTTCCGATCCGGAGATAAGCGTAACCACTGAAACAGCACACACACATTTACAATTCACCCATCTCTGGGTTCACTAAACCAAACGACCCCCCCCCCTCCCCGCCCTTCCCACCCCGCACCCACCCCATTCCCTTTGCGCGACACCCAACTCCCAGTCGTGATATTGCCTTATTTATGACCGTCCCAGCGATGGTACCCTAACCCCTGGTCTACCTGAGATATTCATGAATCTTTTATAGCAGGTATCAAATCTCGCTCGGTCTGTCTCTGTACGTCTGCGGCTTCATGACGGTCTCATTAGCCGGGGCAAGGCACGGAATTGTCTCCATAGACTGGGAGTCTGGCAGGGGACTTGGAGATGTCAGCGGTTGATTGTGACGTGTGTGTGTGTCTGCCTGTATGTCTGTCTGTCTTATCTATCTATCTATCTATCTATCTATCTATCTATCTATCTATCTATCTATCTATCTATCTATCTATCTATCTATCTATCTATCTATCTATCTATCTATCTATCTATCTATCTATCTATCTATCTATCTATCTATCTATCTATCTATCTATCTATCTATCTATCTATCTATCTATCTATCTATCTATCTATCTATCTATCTATCTATCTATCTATCTATCTATCTATCTATCTATCTATCTATCTATCTATCTATCTATCTATCTATCTATCTATCTATCTATCTATCTATCTATCTATCTGCCCGCCCGCCCGTCCGTTCGTCCGTCCGTTTGTCTGTCTGTTTGTCTGTCTGTCTAAATATCTACCTTTCTATCTGTCTGTCTATCTGTCTGTCTGTCCGTCTGTTTGTCTGTCTGCCTGTCAAAGCATAAAAAAGTAAAGTTACATAGTTTGTTCTCTGTCTCTCTCTTTCTCTATCTCTCGCTCACTGACCATTTAACAAAGTTTGTTTATTGGTTTCTCTCCCCCCCCCCACCTCCTCTCTCCATATCTCTTTCTCTCCCTCATTCTCTCTCTCTCTCTCTCTCTCTCTCTCTCTCTCTCTCTCTCTCGCTCCATCCCTCTTTCTCTGTCCAGTTGTGACCATTCAACAAAGTTCGTTTATGCACCTCTCTCCCTCTCTCTGTTTCTCCCTCTATCTCTCTGTCTCTCTCCCTCTCCATGTCTCTCAATGTGTCTCTTTCTTCCTCACCTTTATATATACGTGCGTGTGTTTGTTGTGTATGTCTGCCAGTAACTTGATGTGTACATGTGAATGTAAACATATATTTTGTTTCCTTCTCCTCCGCATTCTCTGAGCCAGTTCTAACTTTATCAAATCCCACTTACTCTAAACATAGACACACATCTCTATATTCCCATCCAGACATATACATCCTACATTCTACTCTAAAAGTACACACATATCTCTATATTCCCATCCACCTACATACACCCTACTCTAAACATTCACACACATCTCTGTATTCCCATCCACCCATATAAACCCTACTCTAAACATACACAATCTCTATATTCCCATCCAGGCATATACATCCTACATGCTACTCTAACATACACACACATCTTTGTATTCCCATCCACCCACATACATCCTACTCTGAAAATACACACACATCTCTATATTCCCATCCACCCATATACATCCTACTCTAAACATACACACACATCTCTATATTCCCATCCACCCATATACATCCTACTCTAAACATACACACACATCTCTATATTCCCATCCACCCATATACATCCTACTCTAAACGTACACACACATCTCTATATTCCTATCCACCCACATACATCCTACTCTGAAAATACACACATATCTCTATTTTCCCATCCACTCATATACATCCTTCTCTGTACACACACACACACATCTCATTTTTTTTCCCAACCAGGCATATACATACTTCTCTAAACATACACACATATCTATATTCCTACCCACCAATATACATCCCAACTCACAAACAACATAGTCCCTATCAACTCCGCTTGTGATCGCAATGATTAGCTCCCACAAGTGCTGATGAAGATCTTGATAACCGTGCTACCCTTCCTACCCTGTCTGTAATTGTGCACCGTCTCCCGGTCTGTAGTTAGATTTGGATAGTTAATCTATAATCAGAAACTCCCAAGCTCGTCGCTGGCGACAAGATGGCCATCTGGAGCTCAAAATAATTGAACCGTGAATGATAAGTATCCCCATGTGTCACTCGCGTTGGAAGCCATTTTAGAGATCATTAGTGCGAAAAAAAGAGGAGCAGCTGGCCGAACGGTTAGAACGCGGGCTCTCACGCGAGAGACCCGGGTTCGAATCATCGGTAAGTTTGGGTATTTCTTCTGTCGGGGGCCAAAATAAAATCCTGACCTGCACAGTCGTGGCGGCAGCACTAACCATGCGGCCGTAAATCCTCAGACTTAAAGACCGCCCTGCCTACACCACAAAAATGGTACCATAAAGGCTGTAATTAGCAGTTTTAATTGATAGTGTGTCAGAATAACGTGTGTACGTATTGATGGACACTTGTAGAGTCAGAGGGACCAGATCATAGGACATGGTGGATCACAGATATCTAGAAGCTATAATTATTTTTTGGTTATGAGTTATGAGTTTATCATCTTCACAGCACTCCAGACACATCCATAGATGCTCATATTCCCTCTTAAGCTTATTCATCAGAGTCTGGTGGTTAATAGTATCAGTCCTATGCTTGCTGACAAGACTTTTTATGCGTCCGGTGTGCTTCTCATGCTTTGGGTTTTTTAGCTGATCACAATGCTTATATATGTGGTCTTCGTGGTAGGACCCTTTTCCACGCCTTCATGCGAATTGGGCAT